CAGAATAAAGATAAGCCCTTGCAAATGGGATTTGCCAAGGAAGTACCAGAAACATAAAATAATGACAGTTATCAGGGAACTGGGCTTTGGAGGCACTCCAATCCTGGTCTGCCTGCTCCAGGGGCTTCTAGGTGGCTGGTTTTCACGGTGATTGAGGGGCTGTTGGTTTTCAACATTCTATGGAAGTAGTGGGGCATAGGACGGGGAGCAAATTAAAACACCACTGGGTTTGCTGCTCTTACTGACATTTGGACATTTTTATGGAATAAACACTCCTTGGATTGTCGCCAGCCTTTAGTTAATTTCCAGAGTTATGAAAAATTTGATGTGGACATTTTTTACCAGTGTTCTCATTGATTTTATGGAGAAGAGGATTTTTAGAGGTCTTTTCTCTGCCATTCCTACTGATGTCACTCAGCAGTAAAGATTAGAAATAGCTGTTTTATGGGATGGAACAGAGAGCAGACTGCAAACAGATAAAAAGATTGCAGAGAAACATTGATGATCCAATTGAGGTTGAAGATTATGAGTTGGTAGTGCCAATCTGCTGTGTGTGTGTTTTCCAGCAAGCTCAGCAGAGCAGGTAGATGTTGAGAATGAAGACAGTGAAATTGGACAAGAATTGGGGTTAACAGAGCAAGTAGGGAAAAAGGGTAATAGGGCAAGAATGTATGGAAAGCTGTATAAGTAAGGAAGGGAACAAAAGGAATTTAATGTTTGAAGAGTGAATGTATTTGTGTAAGAAAATGAGAAAACAGGAAAAAAATGATGATCATGGAATGGCATAGTCTCTGAATTTTGAGAATTAAGAGATAGAGCCATTGAAAGTTGTTTGACAAGGTTCAGTATTACCAAAGTTACATGAACAATGAACAGTGAGAATAGAATTGTATATTCCACAATAGAAGCCAAGATCATGTTTATTGTTCATCGTTATCTCCTAGAATCGAACTGCATGCCTACTTCAGAGTAGGGATGCAATTGATCTACATGGAAAATATATAAGAAAGATTAATTTTCCAGTGTGAACAATCAGTACAGGGAGAAAATGTCTTCTGAGTTAGATGTTCAAGGGGTCAAAATTTAAACAAGTAGAGATTAGTGTCAGAAAGGACATTCTTGCTGGAGGGAAAGTATAGCTGATATGATTAAGTATAGAAGGAGTTGAGGAATGGTGAATAGTCTAGTCAGGATATAAAATACAGGGTATAGGTGGGGATAGAACAGTATTGGATGAAGGTAGAAGGATTAGGAAAAAATATGGAATATCTTGAAAACCCAGCTAAGAAATGAGGATAAATTTGTACAAGGAGTACCAGCCCCAGGAAGTTTTAAAGCAAGAGCTTGATGTGTGATCACAGTTTACAATAGCAATGTAACTATGGCAACAGTGGCAAGGGACAGATTGGAGGGGGGAGTGCTTGGAGACAGGGAGACCAGTTGGGAGGATTTGGGAAATTGTGTTTTTTTCAACAAGAATGATGGGAATGAAAATTAAAAGATAGATGTGAGAGATTTTATTATTAATATAAAGAAGAATCAGCCTTGCGATCACTACAATAAGATTAAAAATATTAACTTATAGTTGGCTGTCTTGCTTTTGCTGACATTTTAAAAAGTTAAGAGCATAAAAAGTTTGACAAAATTGAATCCAACACTATGTAATTAATCAGAGTTTTAATTTATTTCCTATTTGTTAGTGGAATGCTTACATATTCCAGACTAAATGTGAACTCAGTATTTGAGCTGTTACTATCTTTGGAGTATTGTTCTCAATTCTATTTTAAAACATTTGAAATTGGAGTTCATTACATAAATTACAAAGTTTTATTAAGATTTGAATTACTTTATCCAGAATAATACCAGGAATTTGAAAGGATGGCTGGTTAATACTAACAATTCTTTAAAGTATTATATCATTAGACCTAAAGGATTTTAGATATGTGTAAAATTTTGGAGACCTTAGCCTCCCTTCCTTTATAGTTTATTGTAACTTCTGATTTTAATGCATAATTAGGTCTTGACTGCCCTCTAGTGGTGTATGTCTTTTAAATGTAGAGTTTGGAGAGCAGGACTTTGTTTTATCAGTCATTGGTTGTGTGTACTCTCTGTGCCATGTCTGCGGGGTACCGAGAACAGTCTTTTATCAGACCTTGTCCTTAATCTTGAGGTGGTTTGTTAAAGGTATAATTCCTGAACTTTTTCTTCTTTGAGTACCAACAGACTAGATAGTGTGCGTTAGGAATATATCTAACTGTTCATTTTTTAATGTCAATATCTGTTATCACAATATAAAAATCACTTATATAACATGCTTATATAAGTTAGAATTGCCTACCAAACACATGTAAATATAGTGTATTTTAAATCAAGAAAAGCGTAAGGATTGCGTGGTTGGGGGAGAGTTCTGTGCCTCTGACGGGTGCTGCCCATTAGGTATATGCCCGGCCTCCCATGTCCAGAGCTCAGGGGCATCTTTGTTTCTAGATACAGTTTGGTGGGTGTTTATGGAGCACCTACTTTGTGCTCAGGTGCTTGATGCTACAGGGTATGCAAAAGAAATTTGTTACAGATTGCCTGGATCTGATTTTTATACTCCTGTGAATCCAGATTTTCATTTTGTATTAGTATTTTAGCAAGAAACAGAATGCTGAACTGTTGCTTCTTTAAACTGTAGTTGCAAGCTACCCTAAACTAATTTAAGAACTATACCTATGAATTACACAGACATTTGAACGAAGATTCACAGAGGTTAAAAAAGAAAAAAAACGTACATTACTGTGAAGTCCCTTGCACGACACTGTCTATAAACAGCAAGTTCATTTCAAGTTCAGGTTGAGTATCATCCATGAGTTTATGAACAGTGCAGCATAGAGTCAGGAGAAAGAATGCCAGGACTAAAAATTTCTGCATCCTTGCAACTGCACCTGCTCTGTGTAGTACACCCTGTTTTCACTCCTTATACTTATGGAGAGGATTAGTGGTGTGTCTTAATACCAAGAGAAATTTAGAGGGGGCTTTTGAGGAAATGATCTGTTATATTTTTATGTCAAATTTGCCTTCCAAAATATTTTATTTAAGCTAATATTAAAATTAGTTTGCATTCCTTGAGCATACTGTGTATATTTGTGAAGTCTTGATATCCTGGAAACATAAAGAGAACGCTGGAATTTTTCAGTAGTTTAATTTTCTAAAAAACTGAATGTTCCATATTTAGAAAATTGGGAGTTGAATTTATTAGTGCACACTAGAATATAATGTGTGATTTTATTTGCAAATGTCTGTATAATTAAAAATAAAGATAACTGCACGAAAACTTCTTTCTTCCTGAAAATAATCTCCAGATGTTTGTGTAGTTCATGGCTCACCTTCAACATCTCTTAGATTCACGTAGGGAAGTTACAACCACGATTTAAGGAAGCCATGGATCGGTAATCTGTTTCTTGAGGAAATACTAACTCTGAATGAAAATGTGACTTTTTCTATTTTTTAAAATATGGCAGCATTGAGCACTAGTTTCTTATTAGCAGCAACTACCTTTAAATATCATAAAATCTTATAGTATTTTTCCCTCAAAAAGTAGTTTACTATCTTGTCTTTCAAAACATATTCAGTTGCTAAGTAATAGAATTTTTTCCTCTTCACCATAGAGTTGTTTATCAGTCTTATTCAGGGACTTAAGCTAGCTTTTGAAAGGTTAACTAGCAGATACAGTTCAGCTGTACGTTCTATAATCACCACCAGCACTATCAAAAAGCAGATATTGATCATTTCATTAATTAAGCCCATAATTAGAAGCTACTTAATGCTGTAGCTGTGTTCTTTTCATTGCTTTACTTTAACCTACTCTCAAATTGTTACATATGACCTAGCTGTGTGTTTACTGGAGACCTTTAAAGCTTATCTAGATTATTTTTATAGTTCTAATTCGATCATACCAAGTCAATGGTGAAACAGGTATTAAACCTGTGTTATATATAGGGTCTTCCCCAAATCTTAAAGGGGAACAAACGAGAACGAATATTTAGCCAGTGTCTGCTACTCCGTGCTAGCTACTGGAGGCAGCGTGGGAGGAACAGGGGCTGGAGTGGGAGGCAGCTCCTGAATCCCACCACTTATTAGTTGTGTGACGTTGGTCAAGTCACTAAGTTTCCTCCTCTGTATCCAAGGCGGATCTTAGCTGAGCTGACCGTTTCCTTTGAGATACCAATTTAGGGGACCCTCGTCCGCATCCTGTGATTTCCCAGGGACTTACCTTCTAATGATCATTCTGGCTTTAGGTTCCTCAGTCTGAGATTTTGCCTTCCTGGATCTCTTAATCTTGCTACATCTCATTTCCTATAGATATATTTTTTTCTCCTTTGCTCCACCCTGGTCCTGATGGTAGACTCTCACCCTTTTGCTTTTTCCCCCAGTTGGAAAAGTGTTACATCACGTCAATGAGTCCCTTGGCCATCCTGTAGGGAAATTTGTCGTTGGTTACTGTTCTCTGCTGTTTATGGCTTTCCCTTGTGTCCTCGTTCTCTCTCTCCCCCCCGCCCCCGCCACTTCCTGGCTGCTTCTTCCCTCTTGTCTCTCACCCATAAATGTCTACTTATGTTTTATGCAGAGCAGTTTAGAAGCTGAGATCTCTTTCATTATTGTCTTCTTTCCATCTCGTCTTCCGCAGCCAAACCACCAAGCTGCTTGTGGGTTTTCTTCTACAGAAAAGTAGTTCCCTCCTGCAAAGGGGCTGGTGGAGGAAACGCCAGCATCCCTGACAGTGTTACTGAGGTTCAGTCCCCAGCCTGTCCAGGGCAAGCCCTAGTGCTTTCCGCTTCACCAGGCTGGCTGATCAGAGATAAGAAAACACTCGGTAAAATGTGAAGCAAGACAAGAAAGTATTGTTACTGTATCGTTACTGTCATCACTGCAGGTTGAATTGCAAAAGCTACGTGAGATCCTCCTTTCTCTTTCAATTTCGCACCTGATGCCCACCAGAATCTCTTTCAATTTCACAGCTGGCAGAGCCGAAGTGTGCAGCGGCACAGGAGAAAGGTTCCGAATCTTCCGTGCTGAGAAGACCTACGCGGTGAAGGCAGGACGGTGGTATTTTGAATTTGAGGCTGTCACTGCTGGGGACATGAGGGTTGGTTGGAGCAGGCCGGGTTGTCAACCAGATCAGGAGCTTGGCTCCGATGAACGTGCCTTTGCTTTCGACGGCTTCAAGGTGAGCGGACTTTGCAGTGTACCAGGCATCTACTGTATGTGCTGTAGGGTCATCTGCTGTTCTTTTTGGCAGTTTAGTAATACTGGTATTTTCCACAGCACAAACCCGGAAAAATAGTTCACAGGAAACTTGTCCTTGTAGTCTCAAAACCCTTTTCCCTACCGTATCAATACAGTGGAATTCACCAAGACATTGCTTCTCCATGGTTATCAAAAAACGAATTATCCTTGTCTATCAGAAGTGTTAAAGATACATATGCAAAGGAAAATGCATGTATGTTAAGGTAGCAATTCTATATAAAGATTTTATCCTAAGCAACAATTAATGGTATGTATAAACATTTAATAGCCACAGAATGCTTAAGGCGATGTTTATAATCACAAACAGTTTTCATTTTCAACATTAATAGTAAATTCTATTTCTTAAACTGGGTGGAAACTCAATCAGGTGCTTATTTTGTTATTTACTTATTATGTAAATGTTTAAGGATTATTTTATATGTATAAAATATTTTATGAAAAAAAATATGCTTATACCCACAATAAGATAATAGTTACTTTTGGTTAGTAACATTTTAGATATTTTATTCTTTTATCTTATTTTTTTCTGATTTTCTTCAGTGAATTTGTATTCTTTTTCCTATGAGAGAAAAAGCTATTTTTAATTAGAAAAAAAAATTAGAGTAAATAAGCAATCATGAAGAGATTTGACACTTGGGTATTGCGGGTTTGTTATGTCCTGGGTGGGAAAGCATTTCTAGGCTAGAAATTAGTACAATTGACCCACTTTGTTCTGAAATGTCACTGTTTTTTATATCAAATAGAAAATTTGACATCTTTTTTTGGGTCAACATTAGCAAACCTTATTTAAACTCCAAAAAAATAAAATAATAGAGAAAAGGCAGATTGAGTTTTATTTTCCCTGAAGGTCAGATGCAACAAACCAGAGTTGCAACTATCCCTAAGAAGTTAAAATGCCCTTTATCCCCTGTCAGACCACAATCTAGAAAGGATACTGAATCTGGGACTAGGCATGTAGCGGGTAGGGCAGGAAGGAGAACACCATAGCTGGATAAGTGGGTTGTGAATTTTATGCCTTTTGATACTTAGTTAAATTTTTTAAAAAGTAAAATGTGCTATATTGAGAAGAATTATGTCATTGTTTTGCATTGGTGACTATATCCGGTTACATACCAACTCACAATGATGATGCTTAAGTGGTAAGTTCAAAGATTTATCTGGCAATATAACTAATTTGTACCTATAAATTAGCAGAATATACCTGTAGAACCAAAAGTCACGTTTTATCAATACTATGTTTCAAATGTATTTATTATATAGGATTTCACTTACATGTATAAAAAAAGATTGGCATCTGTTTTCAATTTTTGGCTTGTTATTTCACTAGATATCTTAAGAATATTTTTGGGTTGGGTTTGAAGCTTTTTTAGTTTTAGTATGTAACTGAAATGTTTCTAGATTTCCATTTTGTTAAAATATCAGTGACACTCGTTCTAAGGAATAGAATTTTATTTTATTTTATTATTATTATTTTTTTTTTGAGACAGAGTCTCAATGTGTTGCCCAAGCTAGAGTGCCGTGGCGTCATCCTAGCTCACAGCAACCTCAAACTCCTGGGCTCAAGCGATCCTTCTGCCTCAGCCTCCCGAGTAGCTGGGACTACAGGCATGAGCCACCATGCCCGGCTAATTTTTTCTATATATTTTTAGTTGTCCAGCTAATTTCTTTCTATTTTTAGTAGAGACGGGGTCTCGCTCTTGCTCAGGCTGGTTTCGAACTCCTGAGCTCAAACAATCCCCCGCCTCGGCCTCCCAGAGAGCTAGGATTACAGGCGTGAGCCACTGCGCCCGGCCTAGAATTTTATTTTCAAATAGATGAAAATTAGAATGTCATTTCCAATGGTAAATTCCCAGCTTGATTCTCTAGCTCATAAATTTTTTGTATTTGTATGAGTGAAGAAAAACAACCCATATCCTAGGAAATATTTATTGCAGTGGAAAAAATAGGTTCTAAAGGCATATGGTTTTTCTTTTAATAGAAAGTAGGTGGAGTTAGATTTTTAAAATAATGGACTCTCAAAATCATGAAATAGCATTTGGGATTTTCTCAAGATTCAGTAATATAGCACGTTGATATTAGGTAGGGATTTAGAATTCCCAGACGTCTCCGTATTGCTTGGGTAGGATACCACAGTAGACTGATGTGCCAGCTGGAGTTGACCCTCCTGCTGCATTAATAGAAGCGCGTGCTGGTTTACCCTGTGACAAGAGACTCTTCTGTTCTCCACAGGCCCAACGGTGGCACCAGGGCAACGAGCATTATGGGCGCTCTTGGCAGGCAGGCGATGTTGTCGGGTGTATGGTGGACATGAATGAACACACTATGATGTTCACCCTGAATGGCGAAATCCTTCTTGATGACTCAGGTTCAGAATTGGCTTTCAAGGACTTTGATGTTGGTGACGGTAGGTGTACTATGTTTCGTGTTGTCTTTAAGTTTGCAGCACAATGAAGCTATTCATTGTAACGCTTCATAACCAGCCGTCTGTGTTTGAGGGTGAGTGAGCAGATGAGTTGCAGCTGTAAATCGTAAGGGCGCCCGCCACATAGCTGCTTTGATCAGACGCGCCCTTGAAGTTACTTTAGCAGAAATGCTGTCTCTACAGCTCAGGTAGGGTTTTGATAAGGCCGAAATGGCTTTCATGAGTGTGAATGAGAAAATGAATAGCTGGCAAAAGGATAGTATTTCACTATGGTTAAATTTTTATTTAGAACTTCCCTGTTTAATCAGCTGCGTATAGCCTCTTTCTGTTCGTTCCTTTCACAAAATTGGAGTGAGAACCTACCGTGGATCAGACACTCAGCTGGAGATGACAAAGATGAATAAAACACTGTCCTGTCTTTATGTAGATTACAGTTTGCCGGGGGAGGTGGACACTTGTACAATTTCTGTTTAGTGATTAAGTTCTAAAATAAAGAAGTGCACAAAGTTCCATGGAAGCACAATGCAGGGAGCAAATACCACTGCTCATGGGGCCCTTTGGCCTTTGAGATGGCCTTTGAGCAAGACTGTAAAGAAAAGATGGGTAGCATCAGTGAAGCACAGAAGAAGGCTTTTATTCTTCAGAGCTGCACTTCCAGTTTGGTGGGCACTGGCCACATGGGGCTGTTTAAATCTAAATTAATTTAAATTAAATAAAGCTAAAAATAGGGTTTCTTAGTCACACTAGCTACCATTACAAATGCTTAGTACCCACAGGTCATGGGTGGTGTCCCTGCTGGACAGTGTAGATAGCATTTCTGTTATCACAGGAAGTTCTATTGGACAGTGTTGCTCTGGAGCATATAAATAAGACAACATTTAATAAAGTGTTATATTATTTCATTTCTAAATGAGCCAACACATTCTTTCCAAAATGGCTTTTGAATTAGCTGTTATATATGTGCATATGTATTTGCATAAATAAATGTAAACATATTTGCATATGTAGTCTTAGCTTTTAAGATATACTTTGGTCAGTATTTTTATATTCTATAAATTTGTCACCGATCCTCAAAACACTAGCCAGCTCATTATTTGTGTTAAACTTTATATTCATCCATTCAGCAAGCTTTTGAGCAGGTAGGACCATCATTTCCCAAACACAGATTTGCAAAAAATAATAGAAACTTTGCATTTTTATAACTTAATATCTATTTGAACACTTGTGTCTCTGGATGGTGAAATTGGCACTCTAACCCTCCCCACCTTTCTCTGATGTTGTCTTTAAGGATGTCAAAGTATCGGTGGGAAGGTGTGTAGGGGACTTTTTCTCAGTGTTACCTGTCTACACTGGCCACTACTATGGATATGACCTGAGATGCTATTTTTAATCAGTTGTATTAAAAAATACTTGACTACTATGCTTCTTTGGAAGTTTAAAGTCTTTAAATGCATGTTCTGTTTGTATAGTATGTGTGTCACAGAATATACACAGAGTCACCGAATGCCCGTGTTCCAACACATGCCTACATGAGACAATTCCTTTTGAAAGATTTCTGAACAGGAATGTGTTCTGATGCAATGCCTTTTTTTTTTCAAGCTTATTTTATTGAAGTCTGTGTCCTGTTCTGCAGTTTTGATAAGGTGGTGGAGGAGATTGTTCCTCCTTCAGTGACTCTTCCTGCCCTCATCCTTGGGATCAGTCTGCGACCTCAGGGAAGGGAAGAATCCTGCGGCCAATGGTTTAAGATGCTCCTGGCCGCAGGGAGGAATGAGCTTGGTGACCTTTTGGGTTGGGTTGTTCTTTCCTTGCTCTTTTGTGTCATCAAAATGGTAAAATCTGAAGGGCTGAGAAATGGATATCAGCCTAAAGAAAAGAAACTAGGAAGCTCAACCAGTGGGTTTTTTCCTGGGTCTCTGGAGAAACAGAAGGAAATCTTGTGGTTCCTATGTGATCCAGCCCGGGTTTTTTCCTGAGTCTCTGGAGAAACAGAAGGAAATCTTGTGGTTCCTATGTGATCCAGCCCAAGCTCACCAATTTAAACAAAAATCAGAACTTGTGCCCCAAATACCAGCTAATAAAAAATTATACTTTGTCTTTGTCTTCTACCCTCTTCCCTGCCATGTAAGGATAATTTATATCATAAAGTACACTCAAATTTCTGTAGATGAAAAAACTATCTGGTTTATACTTAGAATATGCTTCGCGCCCTCAGTTGAAGTATTGTAGCAGTTAGATCATTTGCTGGATGTGTGTGGCTTATCCAGAAGAATGGTTTCCAACACGGTTTGAATTAAGGGTAGAAGGTCTGCACCATCTCAAACACCCACCTTCCTAGTTTCCCCATTAACACCTCTGAAGTTCCTTCCTATCACCAGTGTCACTCTGTGCAACCTTTTATCATAATACAGACCTGGAAAAGGAACTTATTGTTGAGAATGTCCCTAATTAAAAATTATCACTTGTCAGAGGAAGAAAGGAATCAGGACTATGAGGCTGACTTCCACAGTAGGGAAATCCAAGCAACCCAGTTCTGAAATTATTCTTCTTGTTTGGCATTGGGCAAATAGCCTCTCTGTTTTCATTTCCTTAAAATAAAAGCACTACTTGGAGATGATCTATTCATGCCTCTTTTAATTCTAAAGATCCTAGAAATCTAAGGCAGATATTTTTTGTGTTTGTTTTTATTTCATCCTCCTTTTCAGCATTCTCATTTAAGTTCTGGCATCCATTTTTTTTTATTTGTATAAATTTAAGGAGTATGAGTGCAGTTTTGTTACATGGCTATATTGCATAGTGCTGGTCTTGGCTTTTGATATAACCATCACGCAAATAATGTACATTGTATCCATTAAGTAATTTCTCATTCCTCATCCCGCACCCAACTTCCCACCCTTCTGGGTCTCCAGTGTCTGTTATTCCACACTCTATGTCCGTGTGTCCACCTTATTTTGCTTCCACATATAAGTGAGTACATGTGGCATTTGACTTTCTGTTCCTGAGTTGTTTCACTCTTGGCCTCCAGTTCCATCCATGTTGCTCCAAAACACATGATTTCATTCTTTTTTATGGCCGAATAGTATTCCAAGATTGTGTGTGTGTGTGTGTGTGTGTGTGTGTGTGTGTGTGCGCGCGCGCACGTGCATGCATGCATGCACACACATACCACATTTTCTTTACCCATTCATCCCTTGATAGATACTTAGGTTGATTCCAAATCTTTGCTGTTGTGAATAGTACTGAAATAAATATACAAGTACAGATATCTTTTTGATATAATGATTTCTTTTGTGTAGATACCCAATAGTGAGATTGTTAGATTGAATGCATCTGCCATCCCTTTAACTAGCTGTTGGACTCTAGACAAATGATTTAACATCTGAGTTGCTTCCTCATCTAGAAAAATGGAGTTAATATTAAATAATATAGGTGAAAATGCGTTTATATTATGTGGCACATAGTAGACCACAGCAACTGTTACACTCTCTTTTCTTTCGATTAAAGGAGTATGTAATATTATATACTTCTTTGTACATTTTAATATAGCATTGGCCCTTTCATCTGCTTTTTGGCCATTTGGCTTGGTTATACACTTGGACTTTTTTCTGTATTTCAGAAATGTTACAATCTGAAATTATTTGTTCTTAGGAAAGACTAGGTATGCTTGTGATCTGCTTTATGTTCTTTTTATTGTAGCCCCAACCAGAAATTTCATGCCTGTATTTCGCCCCCACATCTTTGTAACTTCCAGCTCCTTGGCTGGACTTGCGTGCTCATCAGACACCCCTCTCCTCTGGAGCAGGGAGGCTCATCAACGGAGAAAGTTAAAATTTGCCTCAGCCATCTGTCTTTTGTTGGAGGAAGCAGCTTAGCCATAAGTTGTAGCTACTGTTTTAACAGATTTGCAAATAGTTAGGGTGGCTTTGGCTCAGGCCCAGGTAACTGATCAGGCTCATGTGCACTAATTTAAGATCCACTTCCATGATGAAAATTTTCCTTAGATATCATCAGGCTCTGTTATTTGCAGGGTGTCAGTTAAGGTAACTGGAATAGAAGATCAAGAACACAAAGGACAGGAAGGTAGGACCGAAATTTTACATGTGCTGGGGTATATGCATGAGTTTGTGGAAATCTGTTTTTTTAATGTGTGCTGAAATATTTGTGTGTTCTGCCTACTTCATACTAATAAAAAAATTGAACTCCAGTTATCATGTTTTGTTATGGAGCAATGATTAAGAGTGATGTCATTTATTTATGTTCAATTTATGCCTAACACTCAGTCACTCTTGATAGTATTTAGCATTACCTGACATAACAGTATGTATATTGGTAACTGTTTCTTTGTTTACCTATTATCTGTCTTTCGTATTTTTTTTTTATTCTGTTCACAGCTGTATCCTCAGGGTGTAGAACAGTTCATGGCACAGGGTGGATGTTCCTTAAATATTTGCTGAGTGGAGGTACTTGATACTGTATGGAGACAATGTAGAATAGTAACTTAAAGCAGAAGTTGGCAAAATAAGGCCTGAGGGTCAAGTCCAGCCCGACACCTGCTTCTGTAAATACATTTTATTGGAACAGCCACACTCATTTGTTTACAATCTATGGCTGCTTTTGCACTACGACTCTGAGTTAGTAGTTGCAACAGAGCCCATATGGCCTGTGAAACCTAGAATATCTGCTCTCTGGTCATTTGCAGAGTTTGTTGAGCCCTGGCTTAAAGCGTGGGCCTCGGGATCCCCCAGCCTTGGGTTTCTTTTTTGGCCACTTAGTAGCTGTGAGGGCACGTGATTTGAGCTAAGATTTTGGTTGCCTCATGTGGAAAATAATAATAATGATTCCTATCTCAGTAAATCGTTGTGGGAATTCACTGAGACGAAGCATCAGGAAATACTAGCTACTGATATGGAGCCCTGCATGCTGGGTGTTTCATTTATTGCCATCATCTTCATTATTCAGGACACTTTTCTAAGTAGTGAACAAAAGGGGGGGACTGAGGCTGGCCCTGTCTCTGTGTGGTGGCTGGATGGTACCTGTGGTTTCACTCTCTGTCTTCTTTGACCCTGTTGCCATCCAGCTGTTTCTGCTGTGAATATGCCAATTTTAAAAAGTAAAGATAGTTTCTAGAAATATTGGTGGTTTTATTATGAGAGAAGTTATTAAAACCATGATCTCAAAAGTCAGGATATTATTTAATTTTTACCAAGTTCTATTTCATTTCAATTAAAATGAGAAAAAAAATATGCTAGTTTCTACTTATGGATGTCCTTACATAAATATATTTCTTGAAAGGGGACCAAAACAGTAAGGCAATACCATCTGCCAGTATAACTGCTGTAAACGAATGAAAAAATACGTATTTATCATAAAAGTAATATATTCTTGTTGAATATTTGGAAAATATTCAAAGGAGTATAATGAAAATGGTTAAAAATTACATGTATTCACACTACCCAGAGAGCGAATTGACTTTTAATACATTTCTCCCCCATTTAAAGAATTGAGATGATGTTGTAAAAATAATTTTCCATTGCTCCCTTTTTAACATATGATAAATGTTGTCCAAAGACATAAAAACATTTAAACATAATTTAAAATTTCTTAACAACTTTTTATCTTGAGAAATATCAGTCCTTCAGAAAAGTGAAAGAATCGTACAATAACACCTGTACACCTTTTGCCCGGAGTCATCAACTGTTTTCATTTTGCCATATTTGTCTTCTCTCTATATATAATTTTATTTTGGTGAATCATAAAGATAATTTTTAATGGCTGTACACGTTTAATCTTGTCTATATATCATAGTTAACCATCCTCTTATTATGGGTAGATGAATTTCTTCTTGTACCTTTTTTCCCCGCATTTTAAATTGAGTTCAGTGAACATCCGTGCTAAGGAGTATAATATGAGATCTCACTTTAATACTATTAACATAGCCCTATGGGGTAGATGTTGCAGAAGAAAGGATTAAAGCTTAGAGAATTTAAGTAACTTGCCAAAGGTCAAATAGCTAATAAGTGGTGAAGCTAAGACTTGAATCCTGATCTGTAGAACTTCAAACTCTGTGTTTTTAATCACTTCATAGTACTGCCTGTCTCCATTCTTCTTCGATGGTAACTCTTCTGTAAAACCTTCCTGACTCCCATCTCTCCACCCTTCCTTTGTTCTTGGTACCCTGTCTGCTTAGATAGGTAGTAGTTTATTTCGGTAAAACTTCTTTACTTGTCTTTCCACCTCATTAGATGTGAGCACATTTTGGCTGGGGTCTATATGTTAGTAACCTTTTATTTCTAGTTTCTGGCACACAGTAGCTACTCAGTAAATACTTACCAAATAAAAAAATGAATGGTTGAAAGTTTCTTCATGCATATTAACAAATTGCTCTACAAAAATCTTGTACTAGTTTAATTTGATTAGCAGGATTTATGTTAGTGAACTCACTACCCACCAGTGTTGAGTGTTAGGACTTGGAGAACATGTCATTTGAGCCATTTTATCTCCACAGCACTTATGAATGTCTTTATGAGAAAGATGTAGGTATGTCCCATTTTATTAAATTAAACATTTTTAATGAAACCTATCACTTGTTTTCATAATAATGATATACATATTCATTGAAAATTTTTTAAATTAAGAGAAATAAAAAAGAGATCAAAAAGGTTTAAAAGTCCCACTACTCTGAGACTTTTTGGTAAAAATAACCTGTTGGTGTTTTCCTATCTAAAAATATGACATAAGTTGTATCTTTCTCTCTTCAAACAATATTTACTGTGAATATTTTCCTATATATTAATGAACATTTGAAAACCAAATTTTCAAAGGCTGAATAATATTCTATCTCATGAAAAGAGGTATGTTTATTATCAAAACAATATGCTAGAATTGTAAACATAGCTATAGGGAACAATTTAGGACATAACTCTTTCTGTATATTATTAATACTAATCACTTACTGGTTTTAAGTGAAAATATTTCAATTATACACAAAAGTTCAGATATTAATATAACAAGTACCAAAAGGTCTACTATGAGGGTATTTATAGGTATCCAGTTACTTCACTTATAGGCTAGGAATGCCCACAAATAAAGTGATTAGAAAGAACTAGATGTCTACCATCTGAGTAGATGTTTCTATCCTGGTATCCCCTCGTTTATGTCAAATGGATGTTAGATTTGCCCATTTGTGCTAATGCAGTTCAAGCTGTCTCAGATCTATTGCATTTATTCATTCCTTTTCTTTGATTCCTTTGGGGACACTTATTTAAAACAACTTTCCTTGACTACTGCTTCAAGAGCTGTCACAGCTGCAGACACAGCTGCAGTTTTGTTTTAATTTTAACTAGAAACTCATCGTTCACACTTCCTTGAACACAGCTGGATGTGTTCTTTCTTCCTGGTTGGTAGCTCTGTTATACAACCACTCATTTGAATATATATTGATGAATACAAACTGGGTGAAATCATTATGAATTATTGGATATAATTTTTATTGTCTGATGCTATTTGTGGGGTTATATATGGCTTTTACTGCCACTAATTTCAACAAGGGAAGAAGTGTAAATCATAATGGTAGAACTAACTACAATTCTTGTGAAAATTATTGGCTTATTCTAAGGTTCCACTGCTTTTCGGAGCTACAAATTAGAGAATCTAATTTATAGTCTGTGTTCCAATACTGACTTTGTTTATTGTGCTACCTACTTGAACATTCATGTAAGACATTATAGAAAGAAATGAAGCATACATAAACACCCACTCCCAGAGAATATTATCTCATCCCCTTGCCAAAAAATGTATCATTTCATCGTCTTGACAGTTGATTCCAAAGAACTCAAAGAAACAATTAACAAAGTTAGTATATTAAATAGTTTCCGCTTTTTCAGTAGTGGAAAAATTTGCTAACTTTGCCACATATTAGAAAAGCTTATGAAATATTTTATTGTTTTTGCCCTATTGCTCATTGCTATTGCATATATAATATATAATATTTCAAATTTATGTTTAATATTTGAATATATTATATATTTATGCATATATATATATACACACACACACACTATATATATATATTTTCTCACATGCTTAGATCTTATTTATCTCAGGAAAAAAAGAGGCAAAATTCTCATCAGAGATCAAAAGCAGCTGTCAGTGGATGGAAAACATTCAAATTTTTGCCTCCAATCCTTTTTCCCTTGAGTTATAGGTGAAAAATCTACAGCTCAGACTGTGTCTGGCGTTTAGCTAGATGCAAGAGCAAGGCAGAGGGAACAACATCCCTCGGCACTGAGTTCTTTCCTACCTGCCCCCTATGAGAGAGTGGTTTACATGCCTGAGCAAGGGGGCTGTCGGGGCGGGATCTCCTTCTACCATTGTACACCCTAGAATCCCTGGAGAACCAGAGGCTGCTTAGCAGTCACTTCCTCTTCCAGAGTAAGCCCTGGGTTAGAGGAAGGACTTACCAAGGGTCCACAACTAGTAAATTAGGATGCCAAGATCAAATCCTGGTCTTCTCACCCTTACGTTTAATACTTAATGTTGGTATTCTCTGTATAACACCACTGTTTTCACCCTAGGTTAATGGCTCTCACAAGGCTAAGAGTCCTGGAGCAGCGTGTTTGGTAATTCCATACTAGCAAGATCACATACTAATGGTACTGAAGCTTTCGATTTTTTCTCCCCCTACCCAGGATTCATACCTGTATGTAGCCTTGGAGTAGCTCAAGTGGGCAGGATGAACTTTGGAAAGGATGTCAGCACCTTGAAGTATTTCACCATCTGTGGCTTACAAGAGGGCTACGAACCATTTGCCGTTAATACAAACAGGGATATTACCATGTGGCTGAGCAAGAGGCTTCCTCAGTTTCTCCAAGTTCCATCAAACCATGAACATATTGAGGTTTGTTTTTCTTTTAAAAATCAGGCCATTTCCAAAAATCAGGAGAAGAATATCTATTTATACGTGAGAGTTTCCTCTTGGACAATTTTGTAACTTACTTAAAATGGTGACCCTGATGTGTTACATAGTAGTGGAATCTAAGCAAAGGATTAGCCTCTCATATTAGGTACTTGAGGGGTAACTTACTAGACCGATTAAGAATAATTTCCTTTTTTATATAGGCAATGTTAGGCAAAATCTGAATACGTACAATTGTAACATGAATCTCCCAAACCATCTTTAGAGTTAGAAGCAGAACTCTATGAATATATCTATACCACAGTACTCTGTTAAATCATCTTTTACAAAATGATGCCACATCGTGGACCATATTTGGGATTCCGAAAACATGATGTTCATGAGTCATCTTTAGAGTCAGGAAATCAACAATTAGAATGTGAATTGTTGCTTCTGCCTTTCCTAGGTGACCAGAATAGATGGCACCATAGACAGTTCCCCATGTTTAAAGGTCACTCAGAAGTCGTTTGGTTCTCAGAACAGCAGCACCGATATCATGTTCTACCGTCTGAGCATGCCGATTGAGTGCGCGGAGGTCTTCTCAAAGACTGTGGCTGGAGGGCTCCCTGGTGCTGGCCTCTTTGGGCCCAAGAATGATTTGGAGGATTATGATGCAGATTCTGATTTTGAGGTTCTAATGAAGACAGCTCATGGCCATCTGGTACCCGATCGTGTTGACAAAGACAAAGAAGTTACAAAAGCAGAGTTTAATAACCACAAAGATTATGCTCAGGAAAAGCCCTCTCGTCTGAAACAAAGGTTATTAATACATACAATATAATTTTACACGTGTAGTTGTTATGTGGAGTGGGGGTTACATTGGAGGGTAAGGGATTTCCTAGTATTAATTTGTTCTTCTCTTCGTTGTTTTTGTGCAAAGGACTCTACAGGGGAAAAGCAACCTGTTGGTCATCTATTTTTTTTTTTTTAGCACAGATATAATCTATCCTAAGAATTATTTTTTAAGATGTCTGTGTTTACATTCTTGCTTGAAATTTAAACAGTATATTATCTAAATAGTATTTTTATGGTGAAGAAGGCAAGTTGTTTAGCATCCTTTTTTGCAGTAAATCAGTTTTTCAACCTCAGCACTGTTGGCACTTTGGGTCAGGTAATTCTTTGTTGTGGGAACTGCTCTGGTCATTGAAGAATCTTAAGCAGCATCCCTGGCCTCCACCCACTAGACGCCAGTAGGATTTCATCCTCCTAGTTGTGACAATCAAAAATGTCTCCAGATAGTCCCAGATGTCCCCCAGGTAGTAAAATTACCTTGGCTAAGGACCACTCAGTTGAATATATACTCATATTTGAAATAGGCAGAACATTTTAATATTGCTTATTTTTAGTCCTCTAAAATATTTCAGATTTTTGCTTAGGAGAACAAAGCCAGATTATAGCACAAGCCATTCTGCAAGACTCACTGAAGATGTCCTTGCCGACGATCGGGATGACTATGATTATTTGATGCAGACGTCCACGGTATGAGGTTACAGCTGTTGTCATTTATTTCTATTTGTCACTTATGCTTTACATCTCAAATAGTGTACTTTGATTCATCGTATTTAGCAACATTATTTTTTATGTAATTATTTGCTTGTATTTTTATATATATTTTGGGGACTGAATATTTGGAAAACATATGTATTATAATGTATAGTATGCAATAAGAAAGCTGTTTTAGGAAAAATATCCTTAATGGCATTCATAATCTTGATTTTGCTATCCTGTTTCTTGACAAAATTTTAAATCGCACTTGAATTTTCCAAGTGCATGTGATTTCCTTTGTCTTAGTGGATTGTCTAAAAGATCATTTATCGTACTTTGTGAGAGGTCAAGTTTTGCTCTCTGCCATTTTAAATGTTCAAAACTACTTCTCCTGAAATGCCAAATGGAAAAGATATATAGTTGTGCCCGTTGTACGGTGTTTCTGTGTTTGTGTTTGATGTTCATGTTAGATATGAACTATTTCAGAGTGACTTTAAGATGTCAAAATATTATATATCAGAGATAGAAAAGGCCAAACGTATGCAAAGAGGTGGGTGACAGGTATAAAACTATGGCATAGTTTAGTGCACTTGCAGAAGCTTGAAGAATTTGAAGCTTACCTGCTGAATGGATTAATGATTTTTATCACATACGTATACTATATATCTGTATTCATATAAATGCATGTATGTGTACATATATAGACAACATGAACACAAACATGCATACATGCTCAGGCGTATAAAGAGCCTCAAATCATTTAGTGTGTTTGCTCAGATATTTTTTTCCTTTCCCATTATTTCTGTTTTAATTCAGAATCTCTGGTATAAGGCATTTCTTAGGTTGCAGTGTCAGTTTTTTGTGTCTATAACATTTTAATTCAGCCAAGTAGTTTTAAACCAAGAAATATATTCTTGAGGTTATTCAAAGACTCAGACAACAGTTAACGTTGCAAATCAAAGTTTTATTTTGCCAACAGTTTGTTTTTGCTATCTTCACAGTACTATTACTCAGTGAGAATCTTTCCTGGACAAGAACCTGCTAATGTCTGGGTGGGCTGGATTACATCAGATTTCCATCAGTATGATACAGGCTTTGACTTGGACAGAGTCCGTACAGTAACAGTTACTCTAGGAGATGAAAAAGGAAAAGTGCATGAAAGGTAGGTTTTCCTCAATTTTTTATAAGAGTGCCATCTGAAAAAAAATATTGGTAAACCCAGATATTCTTTTGTCTTGGATTTTGTGAACAAGATATTTCTATTTATAGGAACAATATAATCAAGCCATTAATGTCAATGTCCTTTTTTTTTAACTCATACAAATCAGTAAGGGATCTAAATATATTAAAAGTAAAAAACATCATCATACAGTAAGAACAGTGCATCCTTTTTGGGTAGTAATCATATGTTCCTTAAGGTAACATGACCAACAACTTGGGTTACCAATACTTAGCACTTGTTTTAGGGATTCAAGAGGGGTAAATGTGAGGCATTTAACATATGATCTGATATGTATCTTGGGAACTGGCTAAATGATGGGAGAAAAATGTGAAGATGGTGTGGGCTGGTAGTTTAGACCAGGTGGACACATTTGAACTCAGACTGAGGAGCAGTGGGTTCTTTCCTCAGCTTTGCCATTGACTCGCTGTGTGGCTTTGGGTAAGTCAGTTACACTTTCTGTGCCATCCTTTTTCATTTGTAAAACAAACTCAAACCAAACCTTCAAAAAAGTGAAGAAGGCTATCTTCCTTGCAGAATAAGACAAGAGAAGATCTGACCATTTGCTTCTACTTTTGTGCCCATGCATCCTCTCTGATCTGCTGTGACAGGTCTCAGAAAGAGTCCTTTATAATGTTGCTTTTCTCCTCTACCTGCACCGTCATTTTTGGTGGCTGGGAAACTCCCTTTCCTACCCTCAGGGTGTAACATGCGCAGTATAATGGATTTAGCACTTGAGATGCGGACCTAGCAAAAATCTTGAATGAAGAGCTCTTTACATCAGTATGGGACCCCAAACCACATGTCTCTAGGAATAGTCTTGGGGGTACACATTTAATTTTCTGAGATGGCAACAATATAAGAAAAGAACTTAATATAGGGATGGGATAATGGAAAGATGATTTTGTTACAGGAAACAGAGGATAGGGAAGGCTTATTGAATTTTATGTACATAATGTGAAGAAATGCAGCCTACATTTGATTATTCAGAAACCAACTTTATCCCAGCCTTTTTGTTCTTTTCCTTCTGCTTGCTTGGCTTTGTGTTTTTTTGGTTTTTTTTTTGCTAGTCTTGTTAGTTTGTTCGCTGTGTAGTGGCAGAGAAAAGACATGGAGATGAAGCTTAAATTTCTTAACTTTGTTACCATCTCTAGTGAAGGTTTTGGGAAAGATGAAAACCAGGTGGGGTTTGTTGTTAATCACTGATTTTGTGTATATTCTAGTTAAGTCTGTTTCTCATAACCGATCACCAGGAATTGTCCATAAAGGGGCAAAATTTCAGCCAAATTTTAAATATTTTGGGTCACTGATGGCTCATGTAGAATTTGCCTAAGGACTTTGATAGTGTTTGGAAACAAATGCTTCTCATTTCAGAACAAGTGGTTTAAAAAAAAAAAAAATAGAAAAGAAAACCTTGAGATGAAAATTACAAATTTGGATGATTTTTAAATAGTTAAACTTTTTTGAACCTCAGAAAAAGGTCCAGTTTGGTTTGAGTTTTTGGAGAGAAGGTGCAGGTCAGTGCTTACTTGGTTCAAACTTGTTGACCTGTCTCCATTAGGTGTGAAATTTAGAGACATATGAGACCTGATTCAGAATGTCCACTGCAGTCAATGGAGTTTTGCTCAGAATCACAGAATCGGGCCCATTGTGCACCTCTCCCATTACAGCATGAGCTTGTTGCTTGCGCAGCATAATTTAGTTAGTTTGCAAGATATACATGCTTTCTCTTTATCTGTGATCGTACAAAGATAAAAATGTTTTTTTGAAATTCAGCATCAAACGCAGCAACTGCTATATGGTATGTGCGGGTGAGAGCATGAGCCCTGGGCAAGGACGCAATAATAACGGACTGGAGATCGGCTGTGTGGTGGACGCTGCCAGCGGGCTGCTCACATTCATTGCCAATGGCAAGGAACTGAGCACATACTATCAGGTACGTGGTCGGTGATGATGTCATGCTTCTAGGGAGGAAAACCTTTTTTCCCCGTTAAAGGAAAACACATTTTGTAAGACCAAAAGTAAATTAGACACAGGTACATGTGGCCCTGGTCTGAGAAACAGCCCAACGGACCCATCCCTGGCAAGCCTGCCCCCGAGCTATCCCAGCTTTTGCGTGCTCCTGGCCTGAGAACCAGCCTGGAGTCCCTGCCTCTAGCAGAGCCACAAACTCCTGCACTCTAGGTCACTGAGGTGCTTGCAGACATTGCTGATGTGGATTACAGCTGAAGAATCTACACAGATACTGCACTACTGCATTCACTCAGAACCAAAGCCAACATATCCTACCCAACCAATACCCCAGGACTCACCTATAGGAAAAAGTATTTCCCTATGAAAGCTACTCTATAAAATTGAAAGCGGTAACTGTTCCACCAGGTGAGCAGATGTCAACATAGGGACACAAAAAACATGAAAAAGCAAGGAAATATGATTCCCCCAAAAGAACACAATTATTCTCTAGTAACAGACACCAAAGAAAAGGAAATTTACAAAATGCCTAAAAAAACATTCAAAGTAATGATCTTAAGGGAACTCACTGATATACAAGAGAATACAGATAAATGATTCAACAAAATAAGAAAAAAAATTGATAATCTGAATGAGAAATGTAACAAAGAGATATCATAAAAAGAACCAAACAGAAATCTTGAAACTGAAGAATTCAATAACCTAAATAAAAAATATAACTTAAAGCTTCAACCACAGACTAGAACAAACAGAAGAAAGAATTTCTGAACTTGAAGACAGTTCTTTATAAATAACCCACTCAGAGGGGAAAAAAAGGAATATAAAAGAATGAAGAAAGCCTACAGGACTTATGGGACACCATGATGCAATGGACAGAGGCACAGAAAACATATTTAATGAAATAATAACTAAAAATTTTCCAAGTCTTGGGAGAGATATGGACATCCAGATCCAGGAAACTCAGAGGATCCCAATAGATTCTACCCAAAAAGGTCCTCTCTCACACACATTATAATCAAACTGTCAAAAATCAAAAACAAAGAATTTTAAAAACTCAGAGAATGAGTCACATATAATGGAATCCCCATTACAATCAACAGATTTCTCAGCAGAAACCTTGAAGGCCAAGAGAGAATGGGATGATACATTCAAAGTGCTGAAAGGAAAACAAACAAAAAACTATCAACCAAGAATACTATATCTAGCAAAGCTATCCTTCAAAAACGGAGAAATAAAGTGCTTCTCAGACAAGGAAAATTTGAGTGAATTCATCACCACTAGACCTGCCTTAGAAGAAATGCTTAAGGCCATGCTACAACTCGAAGCAAAAGGGTAAAAAAAAAAAAAAAAGAAGCAGCAAAAGGATAATGATTACTATCATGAAAACATGTGAAAGTGCAAAACTCACCAGTGGAAGTAATTTCATAGTCAAACTCAGAATACTGCAGTACAGAAATCTTTCAAACCTCCAATATGAAGGTTAAAAGTCAAAAGGGTCAAAAATAACTGCAGCTGCAATTAGTTGTCAAGGAATATGCAATATATAAAGCAATACAAATATAAATTGGGGGAGGGGTAAAAGTCTATAGTATTTTTATGCAACCGAAGTTAAGTTGTTATCAGCTTAAAATAGTCTGTTATAACTACAATATTGTTTATGGTAGTTCCATGATGACCACAAAGAAAGAAGTTGCAGAAGACAGACAAAGGAAAGAGAGAAAGGAATCAAAGCTTAGCACCATAGAAAGCCACCAAACCACAAAGATAAACAAGAGAAGAAGAAGGAAACAAAGGATCTGCAGAACAACCAGAAAACAATGAAGAAAATGGGGAGTTTAATTCCTTACCTATAAATAATAACCTTGAATGGAAATGGATTATATCCCCAAATTACAAGACATATAGTGGGTACATGGATTAAAAAAACAAAACCAAACTATATGCAGCCTTTAAGAGACTCACTTCACTGGTAAAGACACACATAGACTGAAAGTGAAGGGATAGAAAAAGATATTTCATGCAAACAGAAGCTAAAAGTGAGCAGAAGTAGCTCTACTTATATCAGATAAAATAGACGTTAAGTCAAAAGCTGTAAAAAGAAACAAAGAAGGTTATTTTGTAATAAAAAAGGATCAATTCAGCAATATACATGGATATGTAAGGATATAACAGTTTATATATACACTCAATACTAGAGCACCCAAATATATAAAGGAAACATTACTATTGTATCTAAGGGGAAAGATAGACTGCAATATAGTAATAGTAGGGAACTTCAATACCTGACTTTCAGCAACGGATGGATAATCCAGATAAAAATTTAACAACGAAACAGCAGATGTAAACTGCACTCCTCACCAAAGGGACCTAACAGAACATTTACAGAGCATTCCATCTAACAGCTGCAGAATACACATTCTTCTCAATTGCACATGGAACATTCTCCAAGATACATGATATGTTAGGCAAGGAAACAAATCTTAACAAGTTTAAGATGGTGGAGATCATATCAAGTTATCTTTTGTGCCCACACCAGTATAAGACTAGAACTCAATAATGGGAGGAGCTGAGGAAAGTTTACAAATACATTGAAATTAAACAACATGCTTTTGACTAAGCAATGAGTCAATGAAGAAATGAAAAGACAAATTTAAACATTTCTTGAGACAAATGAAAATGGGAACACAACATACCAAAACCTATGGTGTACAGCAAAAGTAGTTGTAAGAGGCAAGTTTATAATAATAAATGCCTATATTTAAAAAGTAGAAACATCTCAAATACACAACCTAATATTGTACCTCAAAGAACTAGAAATACAAGAATATGCTAAGCACAAAATTAATAGAAAGATACAAAAGATCAATGAAATAAAGAGTTGGGTTTTTTTTTTGTTTGTTTGTTTTGGTACAGAGTCTCACTCAGTTGCCCAGGCTAGAGTGCCGTGGTATCAGCCTAGCTCAGAGCAACCTCAAACTCCTGGAGCTCAAGCAATCCTCCTGCCTCAGCCACCCGAGTAGCTGGGACTACAGGCATGTGCCACCATGCCCAGCTAATTTTTTCTATATATTTTTAGTTGTCCAGCTAATTTCTTTCTATTTTTTTAGTAGAGACGGGGTCTTGCTCTTGCTCAGGCTGGTCTCAAACTCCTGAGCTCAAATGATCTACCTGCCTTGGCCTCCCAGAGTGCTAGGATTACAGGCGTGAGCTACCGCGCCCAGCTGAGAGTTGGTTTTTTGAAAAGATAAAATCAACAAACCTTTATCTAGACTAAGCAAAAAAGAGATGACTCAAGTAAACACAATCAGAGATGAAAAAAGAGACATTACAATAGATACCACAGAAATACAGAGGATCATGGACAATTATATGCCAACAAGTTGGATAACCTAGGAAAAAAATGAATAAATTTCTGGACATATACAACCTACCCAGATTTGCTTATGAAGAAACGGAAAATCTGAACAGACCAATAGTAAGTAAGAAAATTGAATCAGTAATAAAGTCTCCATCAAAGAAAAGATCAGCACCCAGTGACTTCACTGCTGAATTCTACTAAATATTTAAAGAAGAGCTAATACCAATTCTTCTCAAACTATTCCAGAAAATTAAAGAGGGAGTATTTCCAAACGCATTCTATGAGGCTAACATTACCTTACTGCCAAAACCAAACAAGGATACAACACAAAAAGAAAACTAGAAACCAGTGTCTCTGCTGAACATAGATGTAAAAGTCCTCTATAAAATATTAGCAAACCAAATTCAACAGCACATTAAAAAGATCATTCATTATGATCAACTGGGATTCATCCCAGGGATGTAAGGATGGTTTAACATCTCCATACCAATATATGTGATATATCATTAACAGAAAGAAGGACAAAAACCACATGATCATTTCAATGATGCAGAAAATCATTCGACAAAATTCAACATCCCTTGATGATAAAAGCTGTCAACAAACTAGGTATAAAAGGTACATATCTCAATACAATAAAACCACAAATGACAAACCAACAGCTAACATCATACTAAATGAGGAAAAGCTGAAAGCTTTTCAAATGAAAACACGACAAAGATGTCCACCTTATCCATTTCTATTCAGCACAGAAGTCCTGGCCAGAGCAATCAGGCAAGAGAAAGAAAGAAAAGGCATTCAGATGGTTAAAGAAGAAGTCAAATTGTCTCTGTTTGGAGATGACATGATCTTATATATAGAAAGCCTTGAAAAGTCCACTAAAAACCTGATAGAACTAATAAATGAATCGACTAAATTTGAAGGGTACAAAATCAACATACAGAAACCAGAAGCATTTCTATACACTAGTAGTGAACTCTCTGAAAAAGAAATCAAGAAAACAATCTCATTTGCAATAGATACAAAAAAATAAGATATCTAGGAATAAATTTAATCCAGGGGACAAAAGATCTATACATTAAAAACTATAAAACACTGAAGAAAGAAATTAAAGAGGACACAAGTAGAAAGATGTTCCCTGTTCATGGACTGGAAGAATTAATACTGTTAAAATGTCCATACATTTTGAGTGTTCTTATCAGTGGTCTACATATTCAATGTAATTCCTATCAAAATACCAATGAAATTATTCATGGAAATAGAAAAAAATAATCCTAAAATTTGCATGGAACCACAAAAGACCCTGAATAGCCAAAGAGCAATCCTGAGCAAAAAGGAAACAAAACAAAATAAAACAACAACAATAACAAGAACAAAACCAAGCTGGAGGCATCACATTACCTCAAAATATACTACAAAGTTATAGTAACCAAATCAGCATGGTTTTCTGGCATAAAAACAGACACATAGACCAGTGGAACAGAGTAGAGAGCCCAGAAACAACCCACACATCTATAGCCAAATGATTTTCAACCAAGGTGCCAAGAACACTCATTCAGGAAAGGACAATCTCTTCAGTAAATAGTGCTGGGAAAATTAGTTATCCACATACAGAAGAATGATACTGGACCTTTATCTTTCCCCATGTACAAAAATCAACTCAAAATGGATGAAAGACTTAAATGCAAGGCCTGTAACTATGAAACTACCAGAAGAAAACATATGGGAAATGTTTCATGACATTGGACTGGGCATAGATTTTGGATAAGACCTCAAAAGCACAGGCAGAAATAGAGCAGAAATAGTCAAGTGGAATTACATCAAACTAAAAAGCTTCTACACAGCAAAGGAAACAATCAACAGAGTGAAGAGACAACCTACAGAGGAAGAAAATGTTTTCAAACTATACATCTGGCAAGGGATTAATATACAGACTATATAAGGAACGCAACTCAATGGCAAACAAAAAAAAAAATCCCCAAATAATCTGATTTAAAAATGGGTAAAAGACCTTAATAAGCATTTCTCAAAAGAAGACACACAAATGTACAACAGGCATGTGAAAAAAATGCTCAACATCACTAATCATCAGCAAAGTACAAATCAAAATCATAATGAGATGTCATCTCATTTCAGTTAGAATGGCTACTAACAAAAAGAAAAAAGGTAAGTGTTGATGAGGATGTGGAAAAAAGGGAAGCCTTAAACACTATGGGCTGCCATTAATGGATATTAGTATAGAGGTTCCTCAAAAAATGAAAAAGAGAATTATCATATGACCTAGCAATCCCACTGCTGAGTATTCATCCAAAGGAAATGAAATCAGGATTTCAAAGAGATATCTGAACTCCATGTTTATTGCAGCACTATTCACAATAACCAAGATAGAATCAACTTAATTGTCTAATAATGGATGAAAGGATAAAGAAAATGTGATATACATAATGGAATACTATTCAGCCATAAAGAAGAATGAATTCCTGTCATTTGTGACAACATGGATGAACCTGAAGGACATTATATTAAGTGAAATAAGCCAGACACAGAAAGACAAATACCATATTTTCTCAGTCGTGTGGAATCTAAAAAAGTTGATCTCCTACAAGTAGTGATTGGAACCGTGGTTACCAGAGACTAGGCTGGGTGGGGGGAATGGTAGGGTTGGGAGAGGATGGTCAGTGTACACAAAGTTACATTTAGAAAAGAAGGATAAGTTCCGGTGTCCCATTGTACAGTTGGGTGAATATAGTCAACCATAAGGTACTGTATATCTCAAAATTCCTAGAAAAAAGGATATTTTTTTATGTCCCCACCATAAAGGAGTGTAAATATTTGAAGTGCTAGATATGCTAATTACCCAGATTTGATTTTTACACAATGTATTCGTGTATCAAAACATACGACATTTTACCCTATAAATATGTACAATTATTATGTGTCAACTAAAAAATAGTAAATTAGAAATTAAAAGAAAATGGAAACAGAAATGAGTTAGTTATATATGTTGACTTCTATTGAATAAAGACAGTATCATAAGCCCTAAAATATTCACATAATAATGAAATAATGATTAATTATTGAAGGAGGATGGCCATATGCTAGAAAGGAAAATTGGCGGTCTCCTTATATAAAGTGCTCCTTAGTTGTTATAAAGAAAATATTTCTTATTTTGTCTTCTTTCTTTACTAACATTATTAAATTCACTTGTTTATTTAAGGTGGAACCAAGTACAAAATTATTTCCCGCAGTTTTTGCACAAGCTACAAGTCCCAATGTTTTCCAGTTTGAGCTGGGAAGAATAAAGGTAACAAAAAAATCATTCCTGGTATTATATTTGTGTTATTTTCTGTCAGGGCATAGCATTTGCTTATTCTGAAATGGATTCAATATTTTCTTAGTGCTGATGTGAATTAATTCTTTAAAGAAAAGGTAGCCATGTTTGAAAATCTCTTTCAGGTCACTAGGGTAACATAGTTAATTAGAAAGAGTTTCTCTTTGGTCATCTTACATATGTTATTCAATAAAACCAGGCCTATACAGAAAAAAATGCCAAATTACGCCCAATGCAGTAATCTTTGAACTCATAGGTGAGCCAGTGAATGGACTTAAATACCTGAACCCACCATCTAGAATAGTGGCGTGTATAGAGTACTCTGGGAACATTAACGAAAGAGCCTAAGTTGAATGGGTTGGATCAGGTAAAGCTAAAAGAAGAGAAGACATTTAGGTTGATTGTCAACTGTTAAATAGGAACTCTTCAGGGTATATTTTTAGGAGAGGATATTCTAGGCAGAAGATGAGAAAAAGAAAAAAATATGTAAGCATGAAAGCGCTGCAGGTTAAGTAATTCACCTTACTTAACAAAGGATACTTTCCAGACGGTGGCTGGAGATTAATATGGATAAAAGGTAGACCAAGTCCAAGTTGAAAAAGTCTTGTGTGCCATGCTAAGAAGTTGGCACCTATTACGTAGACAGGGGAAATTCAATGGAAATTTGACAATGGGATTGAGTATAATAAAACTTTTTTTGGAAAAATATGTTGGTAGTAACGTGGAGGTGGACAAGAATGAGAGTAGGCAGTAGCAGTGAGGTGTTGACAAGTTAGTGCTGTCTACACGGGAGATGATGATGAGAGCCATTAAAAGCAGCATGGAAAGTGGTAAATATGAAAATGTTTTACAGAAGAAATTAATAGAATTTGACAGTGAATTGGATGAATAGGACTTTTGATGAATTGGATTCAGGTACTCAAGGAGAATCAATGATTAGCTTAAATTTTTTGGTTTGGACAACTTGGGAGTGCTAATGCAAAAAGTAGAAGAGTTTGATGAAATTTTGGAAAAGAGATTGAATTGAATTTTGCAATTATAAAGTTGAGTTTCCAGACACACATCAGGGTGCACATAGTAGATAGTTTTACCAGGCCGGCTCAGTGACCTTGGACATGTTCCTTAAATTATATGAGTTCAGTCTCTGCCTTTGTAAAATGGCATTCACAGTATCTGTTTTATGGAGTTAATATAATTAAAAATCTTGAACAATGCCTTATATGTAGTATCTGCTCAATAAATTTATATATTATAATACATATGCATAATGCATGAATAGATACACACATATGTACATACACAGTTGTGCTCAAAAAAGAGAGCCATGTTGGAGATTAAGATTTTAGTCATCAAGAAATGAACTGTAATTCATCTCTGAGAGTGAATGAAATATCTGAGGGTGGGTGTAGAGAGTGAGAAGAGAAGATGACCGAGGAGAGAACCTGGGTGTATCAACTAAGAAGGAGGAACAAACGGGAGAAACTGAGGACAAAACTGCAGGAATGTAGAACTAGGAGACATCTTAACAGAAGCCACGTGAGGAGGGAGTTTCCCAAACAGGAGTGGCTGACACCAGATAGCAGATGCCCAGAGACGCCCACACAACTTGGACGAAAGGAATCCCTGGCCTTTGCTAGTTAGGAGGTCTTTGGCGACCTCGGCCGGAAGAATTTCAGCAAAATGCTGGGAGAAGCCAAGTTACAGTGAATTCAAGATTGGGAGTGAGAGAAAGGAGGCAGCAAGTTCAGATGACCCTTTTTTCTTTTTATAAAATTTGACAAAAAGTCATAGTTTCTCAGAAACTGGTCCTCAGCTGTCTACTGACATTTCCATTAGATACGGCACATGGAACGTGTCCAGGCTGGGCTGCAGATTGGCACCACCCCTGCCCCTCAGCTGCTCGATCTGCCGTGCTCCCCACGTCAGGTGACAGCAAATCCGGTCGCTCAGGCCAAACACCTTGCAGTCACCCTTGACTTCTCTCCTTCACAGTCCGCATCCCAGGTCCATGCCGGCACGTCCTCCACCTTCTGAGTCACCACACTGATCTCTTCCATCGTCCTTTCTCATCTGGGTGACTCCAGTAGCCTCCTAGAGGGTTCTCCTTAATTCATCCTTGCCCGTTTGTTTATCATACAGCAATCTCAGTGACTGTCAAAGTCAGTTCAGATCATTCCACTGCTGAAAACCCTGGAAACCCTGTTTCCCTGAGAGTAAAAATCAAATGTCTTACCATGGTCCTTGAGCCCCTAAAAAGGTCTGGCATCCCGTGACCTCTCTGATTTCCGCTCCTCCCTCCGCTGTGCCCTCCTTTCCCGCACCACAGCCGCGGTGGCCTCCAGCTCCTCCCCGCACGTGCCAGGCAGACTTCTGCAGCATCTGTGCACCCACCATCTTCTCTGCCTAGGAATTTCTTCCCCTGAATATTCCCATGGTTCTTCTCCGTTTGGTCTTTCTCTCAGTGTTACCGTCTCAGCGACACCCAACCTGACCACCCCATGCGTAATCGCTGCCCTGCAGTCTGGTTCCCCGACTCTGCTTTTCTGCCCTCCCCCGCCACCCCTGCTTCATGACGTCTCCTCTAACATACCATTTAATTTACTTACTGATTTTGTTTATGTCTTCAGCGAGGAAAACGGAAGCTGTACGAGGGCAGGGTTTTGTTTGTTTTGTTCGTTGGCATATTCTCAGTGCCTAAGACAGTGCCTGGCTTTTTTTTTCCATTAGTAGAAGCGAATAGGAAGCAGTTTGAGGATGAGGCAGTCTGGAGAATGTGGTCAGGAGGGCTGTAGAGGAGGAGAGGTTAAGGTAATACAGAAATATGAGAGAATGGTTTCCACGTGGTCCCGGAAGAGGCAGGAAGGCAGGGGTGGTGTTGAGATTATAAAGGAACGAATAAGCTTTGGGCAAAGTAGAAACCTCTCTTTCCCTGAGACCAGACGGAAAGAATTAAGGATGGCGGAAGATAATATTGGAGGAGAAATGAACTATGTTAGTTAATGCCTGAGTAGTCCTATTTTCTTGGTTAGCAGTCAGGATTATCTCTTGGGCTAAGTCTGGTATACCACTGGTTAGAGAGAGGGGTTCAAGGATAAGGTGGGTGACAGGGACAGAAAATGAAAGAGCTGAGATGATGTGACCTCTCATTCAGGAAGTCTGGCACTGAAAGTCCCTAAGGCCTTGCCAGGTTTCCCAGCCGGGTAGAGAAATAGGAAGGATACGTGGGCGTGCTTGGTTGCGCTTGCATTCTCGGTGTGCCAGGAAGCATATGGAAAGAGACATCCTAAAACCTGTTGGCTTGCCCTGACGTTTTAGTTATTTTCTCTCATATAATATTTTTTCTGGTTTATCCTTTCAGGAGCTTTTCAACCCAATTTCTGTTATTTCTTGTATTGACTTTGCTTGACTCCGAGTGTGTCCTACTTCCACTGTCTCTTTCCTGTGCGGAATTCTAGTTACCTTATGAACCCCAAGGGAGGTTCTAAATTCGTTCCTTTTTGCCTCCCCCAATCCCTAGAATGTGATGCCCCTCTCGGCGGGATTATTCAAGAGCGAGCACAAAAACCCGGTGCCGCAGTGCCCTCCGCGGCTGCACGTGCAGTTCCTGTCGCACGTCCTGTGGAGCAGGATGCCCAACCAGTTCCTGAAGGTAGACGTCTCTCGGATCAGTGAACGCCAGGGCTGGCTGGTGCAGTGTTTGGATCCTCTGCAGTTCATGTCTCTTCACATCCCCGAGGAAAACAGGTCAGCCCTGTGCTTCCTTGACTGTCTGATTGGGACGCTTGGAATTAGATGACTGCCCGGGTCTTCTGGGGTGGTGCTAGAGAAATAAAACGAGATTTTAAAAGATCTCATTTATAGAAAACACTTGTCAGATGCAGCCATACATACATACATAAAAAGATCTCATTTCTTATGGCATTATTCTGCATACTCCAAGTTTCAATCCATTTCTCAAAGTAACCACTTCGTTACTGGAAAAAAAAAACGATACTGCGGTTGAAGACACCCTATGATGGTGTGTGGTTTCTTCATATTCACTCTTGTTTTACTTATGATGACAACAACGAATAAAAATTCAGACAAATACAACTGCAATCAAGCTTACAAGAATGTTTTATCAAAATGTTGCATCTGATGGTATTTTTTGAAAAAGAAATATTTAATAACCCAAAAAAATAGCATTTGGGAAGAACTTTCTTTGTGAGGGAAAGTGTTCTCTCTCTACTAAGCAGATAATTTTAACAATCTAATTTAATATTTTGGCATGCCATAATCAGAAACCCAATATAAATCCATGCCGTGGTAATTTATAATTTATATTAATTGCCTGTGATAAATTTATATGTAAGTGAATAGAAAATTTAAACCCTCTCTAAAGGTCATAAAGGATTCGCGGCAGTTTTCCAAAATATATGGAACACAGATGCATAAAAAGGTGTCATTGGAATCAGGTTGTAGAAAAGAGAAAAATAAGGAAATAAAGCCAGGGCTAAGTCTTATGCATAGTGTTTTATACCTCACCTTGCAGTGTGGTTAGTAGGCTCAGGGCCCACAATGGTTTCATGCTCCTAAGCAACCAAAGAAAAATCTGGTAAGTTTCAAAATCCAGATTCCAAAAGGGAAGTAACAACAAGCGATTGCAAACAATCTGATGCCCCGGTAACATGGAAAATCATTAATATTTTAAATTTTGGGACGGTAGTAGATGCATGTCAGTACATACTTCGTTTCTTCTTAACGCATATCCCAGTTTATAATTTAGTTGACTCTGTTTTGGAGGGGAGGTGGTTTCTCTCCTCAACTGAATAGTAAGCTCCCTGAGGTTAGGAATCACGTCTGTATAATTCACCATCGTATCATCAATGCACAGTGCTTAGTACATAATAGACACTCAGTGATATTTCATGAATAATTGAATGATATTGAGATATGATAGAAATTTCTCCAGTGGAGACTGTTAAAGAGCATGATGAGTTGTACTGGTCAGCTTTTGCTGCAGTGACAAACCATCTCCAAATCTCAGTGGCTTGCAGCAAACATTTATTTCACTCATGTTACGTGAGGTCACTGGTTCCCTACATCTCTGCTTCAGGCTGGGCATGGACTGCGGGTGTGGCCCACATGCCTTCTCACCAAGACCCAAGCTGATGGGGCAACCCCAGCCTGGGACGTAAAGTTTTCACAGCCAAGGGTAGATGTGAAAAATGACACACAGAAACTTCCAGGCCTCTAAGCGTTTATTTTTGGCTGTGGCAAATGTTATGTCTACTTACAGTTTATTATGTCCACTTACGTTGTATTGGCCAAAATACATGCTCAAGCATGTTATATGCTCAAGCCCCAAATAAGGTAAGATTACTCCATCTGCAGAGAAGAAAGAGAATATTTGAGGACAATAATATAATCTAGCCTATGCTAGACAGGTATTAATAGTAGGTAATATATTTGACATTGTCCTTACGTAATGAGTTATTTCTTTCGCTATCCCTGAGTTTAAACCATAGTTCATTAAAATACGAATAATTTTACAAGGGGTTGTGGTGTGGGAAGACAAACTAATTTAGTGCAGGTACATGCTTTGGTTTGCCTTGATCTACGTGAAAAAGTTATGAGAGTTAGAGAACTCTATAGATAGAATCTCCTTCAGACTTCTTTCATTTATTCATTCCTTGCTCAAACAGGTATTAGTGCCCAGTATGTTCCTGGCACTGCATATAAAATGGTGAATGAAACAGACATGACCTTTGCTTTCAAGGACTTCATGCTGTAATAGGGAAGAGAGATACTTTAGAGAAAAGAAAAGTGGTGTCATGATGCAAATACTGGGGGGTGGTAAATGAATGGATTGGGCAAGGCAGCAAAATTGTAGACTGTAGTGTTCTTATGTGTTATTTCTAGCAACTAACATTGAGAAAAATTAGAGAGCACACTAACTTATGTTTTTCAATAAGAATTTAGAGTACAGATTTTCTGTGTTGCTACTACAATTTGACCATCAGCCAGGCTGAGGGGTAGGATTATAGTCTTCTTGGACCATGAAGAGCCCAGCTAAGACATGGGAATCATTGCATTCTACACTTTATGGGTGGGCGGGGGTGGTTTGCACAATTATTCCTTTCTGAGAACTGGGCGTTAGCAACTGGGCCCAGCAGTTTTGTGGTTTCCTAGAAGCTTAGGTGTCACATGGGGGTGGGTAATCATTTGGTTTTAGTTGGTAATGCATGAAGCTTCTGATTCTAAGAGTTGGCAGGTGGATCCAGAACTGCTCTGACTTTAGGCACAGTCTGGCCATATGTTTTAGGTTTCATGCCTTGAAAGGGCATGATGTATGACAGGAGCAAAATGACCTGCATTAAGAGCCCAGGGTAAACTCTGACTCCTATAGAAACCTGAGGTGCCCTTTTGTTTTGCTAAGTATAAAAATGTCATGAATAGCGTTTGTTTTGCGTGCTGCACATACCTGCGTGGAAACCCGGGCAGCTGTGGCAGGAGATGTTTGGGTGTGGGAAGGATACATAAGGGTAAATTATGTCAGATAAATTAGAGCTCTGTTCCCCCACTTCCGACGGATTGGGTTAACAGCCTAAGCCTAGGGTAAAGACAAGGCAGCTTAGCCTAAGGCAAAGCTTTCTGGTTTTTTGAATCAGATTAGCCAGTTGGAAAAAGGAGATTCAAAATTTTCCAGAGAATGTTCAAATTCTGGAAGGAGGGCAGTACTAGGGTCAGGTTGAAATCCAGATACCTAAAAGAGATGCTCAGAGCCTTGGTATGATGAATGATGAAGGAAGTTCTAGATGAATATTAAATTCTATGTAGAAGAAAACTTACAAAACATCTAGAAGTGATAAAAAAAAAACAAAACCAAAATGTATACAACCATTAAATGTGCCATAGAAAATTAAAAGAAGATTCAGGTTGGGCATCCCCAATTTGAAAATCTGAAATCCACAATGCTCCAAAATCTGAAACTTTTTAAGCAGGGACATGCAGCTCAAAGGAAATGCTCATTGGAGTATTTCAGCTTTTTGGATTTGGGATGCTCAACAGATAGGTATAATGCAAACATTCCAATGTCTGAAAAAATCCAAAAATCCAAAGTACTTCTGGTCCCAATCATTTCAGAGGAGGGATATCCAACCTGTAGCATCTGCTCCCACACCTTTTTGAAATTTACTTGTCTACACAGATTTTTCTTCTGATTCAGATTTTTTGTTTGATTGTCCATTTCTAATCTTGCCACCCTTCTCCTTCTCCCTTCTACAGATCTGTTGACATCTTAGAGTTGACAGAGCAGGAGGAACTGCTGAAATTTCACTATCACACTCTCCGGCTCTACTCAGCCGTCTGTGCTCTTGGGAACCACCGGGTGGCCCACGCCCTGTGCAGCCACGTGGACGAACCTCAGCTCCTCTACGCCATCGAGAACAAGTACATGCCGGGCTTGCTGCGCGCCGGCTACTATGACCTGCTGATTGACATCCACCTCAGCTCCTATGCCACCGCCAGGCTTATGATGAACAATGAGTTCATCGTCCCCATGACAGAGGAGACAAAGAGCATCACTCTTTTCCGTGATGAGAACAAAAAGCACGGCCTCCCGGGGATTGGCCTCAGCACGTCCCTCAGGCCACGGATGCAGTTTTCCTCTCCCAGTTTTGTGACCGTCAATAACGAATGTTACCAGTACAGTCCTGAGTTCCCACTGGACATCCTCAAGGCCAAAACGATACAGATGCTGACGGAAGCAGTTAAGGAGGGCAGTCTTCATGCACGGGACCCAGTTGGGGGGACCACTGAATTCCTCTTCGTACCCCTCATCAAGCTGTTCTATACCCTGCTGATCATGGGCATCTTTCACAACGAGGACCTGAAGCACATCTTGCAGCTGATTGAGCCCAGCGTGTTTAAAGAAGCAGCCACTCCGGAGGAGGAGGGCGATACCCTGGAGAAAGAGCTCAGTGCAGACGACTCAAAGCTGGAAGGGGCTGGTGACGAAGAAGCCAAAGGGGGTAAGAGGCCCAAGGAGGGCCTGCTCCAAATGAAACTGCCAGAGCCAGTTAAGTTGCAGGTAATCAGAAACACAGATTTGGGTCAATTTAAACACTAAGCACTAAAGTATTGAAATTTGCTTTTGTTTCTTTCCTTCTGTGTGTGTTTCCATGTAATGGTAGTTCACAGAACTAACTAACTTCCTATTCTTTTCCCTCCTCTTCATTAGCAATTTCCTTGCATCTCTCTTGTTTCTGCAGAAGCATTTCACCTTCATTATGTTGGAATGCTTGAAATACAAGGTGTTAAATACCCCCTCCTTCCCACACCTCCACTCTTGCAAACCCTTGAATGCTTGTTTACCAGTGGATGTGTCCATTCTTACTTAGCAAGATTTGACTCCCCTAGTATGTTTCTAATGAATAGAAGACATTGCCTGTCTTTGTGCTCATCAATATGAATGAAGTCCTTTCTTGATGCCTCTTCTGTTCATTAGAGTCAGTCTGATGTTTGCATCACTGATATGCTTTTTTGCGCTTCATTCCTTCAGTCAGCATTGACTGAAGTCTTTCTGGGCCATGCACTTGCTGCTGGGAGAAGTAAACACATGTGAGCCCTGCCTTCCAGAAGCTCACCGCCTCTGGGGAAATGTATATATTTATGTATGCATTTCTTTTAAACTATCTGATTGCTAATTTTATTAAATATCCTGAAGAAGAAGGATGGATTACTGGAAGAAAGAAAATTTACGTCAGGATTACTATTAGAAAGGTTAGGGCTGACTCCTTGGAGATGGTGACTTTTAAGCCGAGGTCAGATTGAGGAGTTGAGTTCAATAGGCGCAAAGAAGAGGGAGCAGGACAGGGTGTTCTAGGTGCTTTTCACCAGGACAAATAGCCCAGTGAACCTTCTCGGGCAGGACAAGGCCACTGTGGCTGTCGTAAGGAAGATAGAGGAGGGTAGATGAGGGGGAAGAGAGGGTGTTCCAGAGTCTGACTAGCCAAGAGGCTGTCCTGCTGGTCTCATCCCTAGGGGACTGTGCTCATACTAGGGCAGGCAAAGGAGAGGGAAAAAAGGGCATAGACACTGGGGCTACTTCAGAGCTGGCATTGACAGGAAAGGTTCTCACGTGGATGGTGACAGACAGGGTTTTAAAGTCCTCTTTGTATTTATGTCACAATTGGTATCGAGTGTATACAAAATTCAAAATTGTTTTTAAACTTGGCAAAGCATTCTCTTTTAGGCATGTTTCTACCAACGTACTGTCTCAGTTAAAAATCCTTTTGGCTTTCAGTAAGAGAATATCCAGCTAACTATTTAATGAATAAGTATTCACCACCGCTTTATTATTATATCTTAAGTGTTGAGTTCTAGAATTGGTACAGAGTAGCTCACTAATGTCCTCAGGAACCAGATCTTAATATCATTCTGCTCTGTGATCCTCAGCCTGTGGTTTTTTTTCCTAAGGTGCATCACCTCGTTCTTCCTCCAGTGATCATGTGGTAACCCAGTTACACTCATTTTGGAAGGAGAGCATTCTGCTCTGTTTTAATGATGGAAAATCTTTCCTACAAGACCTCCGGCAAACTTCTCCTTATGTATCTCATTGGCCATAGCACCTGTGGCTAAAAAGGAGGCCAGGAGAGTAATGTCCACCGAAGGGACATGTGTTTGCCATTGTGACCTAGACAAATCACATTTCATGCCCCGGGACTGAGCACGTTGATGCCTACACAAAATCAAGATTCTATTTATAAAGGAGAAGAGCAGGCAACGATGCGCCTTTATCACAGATTATGATTTGATATACATTAACTACTGAAGAATTCAGAAATTAAATGTGGTTTCTTTTTAATCATCTTCTAGATGTGCCTACTGCTCCAATACCTCTGTGACTGCCAGATCCGGCACCGGATAGAAGCCATTGTAGCCTTTTCAGATGACTTTGTAGCTAAGCTGCAAGAAAATCAGCGCTTCCGATATAATGAAGTTATGCAAGCCTTAAACATGTCAGCTGCACTCACAGCCAGGAAAACGAAGGAATTTAGGTCACCACCTCAAGAGCAGGTAAATAATGAAAGGAAAAATCTTCCTTTTAATTTAGGTTTTGAGTTCATTCAAGATCTTTCTATTACAAAATTATATCATAAGTTACATGTGTTTCCTGCCCACACTCTGTTTAAACTAGTGAAGTTGATTTAGTTAGTGCTTTTAGTTTCACCAAAAGAGTCTACTTGGTTAGTTTAAACAAAAGGGACTTCTGAAAAAATATCCGGTATATCGCAGACTCTTTCATAAGGCCAGTATACCAGAGGGTGACCTTCTGCAAATGGGGGCATATTCAACCACAGATGAGTCTTCATCGCCCCTACTGATAGGAAACCTTAATTCCTAGGACTCGATGCTAGAAGCTTTCTCTCTGAGCCCTCCACAGAAGAACAAAATATCTCTGTCACCTTGCTTGCTGGAAGATTGATCACCCTGTTTGTGGTTCTTCCTCTCACCACTTACGTCCAAACCCAGGTCTCCTTAGGGTGCAGCAGAACCAAGGACACATACCTGAATTGGAGAATGAGCTAGTCTGAATTTTCCAGAATCTACCTTGGGGTGGAACTCAAGGTATGAGAAATTACCAAGATACAGGAATGGTGGTTAAAGGATGTAACCCACAGATCTCTTCTTTGATGCCTTACCCTTATCATTTCCCTCTATCTCCAAGTCAGCTCAGAATGAAAGTGTTTAGGGACTAATTACAGAATTTATTCTTGCTCACCAGAATGTAATTTCTGTGAGGGAAGGGACATGAGATTTTTTTTTTTTTATTATTGCTGTAAACAGCATTTATTGAGCAGGAAACAAGTCCAAGCTCTTCCAGATTAACTCTGTCTGTTAAACTACTGTTGGGAGACTTCTGCTTCCGGAAAGATGGAGTATATGTGCTTTTCCCTATTCTTCCTTCTAAGTACAACTAAAACACTGGACATTACATAAAAGACAATGTAAGAAGACTCTGAAAGAGAGAAGAAGGGAGGTTGGCTACGGAACTCGGGACCCAAGGAACGACATGGTGGTGAGTTCCCTGGGTTTTCTTTTTGCCTCATCTATCCCAGATTTGAAGCTAAAGAAGCTGGCAACCAGGAAATGCCAATGGGCGTAGACAAGAAAAGCCACAACAAAAGCCTGCTCTCTCTAGCCAAAGGACCAGAAAAGGGGCAGCTTAGCAAGACAGAATTGTTTCATATAATAACTGTACTGCATCAGCCAGAAACCACATAAAAAACTGCCCCACCTTCACTCAGCACAGACTGAGTGGGGAACCTTGACTTCTGCCCTCATCAGGCTAGCAAGGTACCCCAGTAGAAGAGAGAGCTTTTATTGCCACTGAGTGGTAACAAGGTCTACCCCTTCCAAAGTGCCACTCGAGGCCATGCAAGGAGAAGTAGCAAGGCACTCTCACCCTTTCTAGCCAGGGTCATATCAGTACAGGTCTAGTGGGGAACCAGAGCTCCCACCCCTGCCCGGCAGTCACGGGGTCCCCTTCCTCCACTTTTCCAAGAAGCCTGAGTGGGGAAATGGACTTTCTCTCTTACCTGGTGGTAATGAAGCACCCAAGCCCTTCTCCTGCTGGATAGTGTCGGAAGAATCCAGCTAAGACATGGTTTAAATAAGAGCCGGAGTTCTAACGCTCAGAATGTGCAGATTTCAATTAAAAGATCACTTGTACCAAGAACCAGGAAAAACTTGAATGAAAAAAGTCAATCAATAAATGCTAACACTGAGATGATAGAGATATTAAAATTATCAGACAAAGCTTTGAAGGTAACCATCATAAAATTGCTTCAAAATGGAAAAAAAAATACCAGAAAGCTTCAACAAAGAAATAAGATATAAAGAAGAAGCAAATGGACATTTTCGATCTGAAAAACATAATAACTTAAAAAAAAACACCTCTCTTAATGGGCTTAATAGCAGAATGGAGGGGACAAAGGAAAGGATTGGGGACCTGAAGAGAGAACAATAGAAACTATAGACTACCCCATCTGAGAAAAAGAGAAAATTGAACACAGCCTCAGGAGCCAGTGTGACTGTAACAAAAGAGCTAACATTTGTAATGTTGGAATCTCAGAGGATAGGAGAAAGAGGGCAAACCGAAAAAATAATTGAACAAATAATGGATAAAAACTTTTCAAATTCAGCAACAGATATGAAGCTAGAGGTTCAAGAGGCTGAGTAAGTTCCACATAGGATACACTTAAGGAAATCTATGCCACGATGTGTCTTAGTCAAACTTCTGAAAGTCAAAGGCAAAGAAGACGTCTTGAAAGAAATGACACTGTACCTAGAGGGGGAAAAACAACTTGAATGATGCAGATTTCTCATCAGAAAGCGTGGAGCGCAGAAGGAAGTGGCACAACATTTTTCATGTGCTGAAAGAAAAGAACTGTCAACCCAGAGTTCTGTGTCATGAAAATATTCTTAAGGCACGAAGGGGAAATCGAGATATTCCCAAGTGATGGGAAGTTAATGAGAAGTTGACCGCAGCAGACCTACCCTGAAAGAATGCTAAAGGAAGATTGTTAAACAGAAAGAAAATGACAGAAGAAGAAAAACTAGAAAATCGGGAAGGAAGAAAGAACAACAGAAAGTGCTAAAATATGAGTAAATACAATGCATTTTTCTTCTCCTCTGGAGGTTTTTAAATTATGTTTGATGATTTAAGCAAAAATTACATAACTGTCTGATATGGTTCTAAGTGTATATATAGTACATATTTAAGATGATTATGTAATACTATAAACAAAGGAGAATAAAGGGACATAAAGGGAGATAAGGGGGTCTATATTTTGCTCGAACTGGTAAAATGTCAATACCAGTAGACTGTATAAATTATATACATATATGAAGTAATACTCAGAACAACCACTAGAAAAGCACTGAGGAATACCATGGATAAATCAAAATGAGATCCTAAAAGTTGCTCAAGTAACCCACAGGAAGTGAAGAATAATAAATCAGAACAAACAAAACCACAAACAAAATGACAGACTTAAGTCACAGTGTATCAATGATTCCATGAATGTCAGTAATCTAATATACCAATTAAATTGGCAGAGTGAATTTGAAAAACTCAATCCAACTGTATGCTATCTCCAAGAAACTCACTTCAAATATAATGATCTAGATAGGTTGAAAAAATACGTGTTATGAAAAAATTAATCAAAAGAAAGCAGGAATGACTATATCACATAAAGTAGACTTCAGAACAAAGAACATTACCAAAGAGACAGGAACATTACATAATGATAAAGAATAAATCCACCAAGAAGACAAATGTGTATGCATTAGACTAATCGATTAGTAACTAACTGAATGGCTAAACAGAAAGATGAGCTAAGATATAGGAAAACTCACCACTATCATCAACTAGTAGATCTATTAACATTTATAGAATACTCCAGACAACAGAATACGCACTTTTCTCAAGCGTCCATGAAACATTTGCAAAGATGGGCCCTGTCCTGGGCCATAGAGTAACCTCAACAAATTTTTAAATATGGAAATCATACAGAATCTTTTTTACCACACTGTAATGAAATTAGAAATCAGTAACAGAAAGATAACAGGGAAATCTCCAGACTCTTGGACACTAAACACACTGCTAAACAATTTATGGTTTGGGAAAGAAGTCTCAAGGGAAGTTAGATCATCCCCTTCAGTCCCATCCCTTTCTTCCCCACTCAAAAAAAAAGGGAAATTAAAAAGTCTATTAAACTGAAAGAAAATGAACATATCACACATGCAAATTTGTGTCACGCTAGCACAGTGCCGTTACACACTAAATGCTTACATTTAAAAAGAGGAAAGCACTCAAATCAATAATCTAAGTTGACATCTCAAGAATTTAGAAACAAAGAGTAAAATAAACCCAAAGCAAGCAGAAAAAAGGCACTAATGTAGATAAGGGCAGAAATCAATGAAACGGAAAACAGGATAATAGAAAAAAATGAATCCCAAAACTGGTCATTTTAAAAGATTAATAAAATTCACAAACCTTTAAAAAGACAAAGAGAAAGAAAGAAGACACAAATTACCACATTAGGAATGAATCACCATAGACCCTGCTGACATCAAAAAGATCACATGCGATGTTTGTTCTCACCACCAAAAAAATAAGTAGGTGAGGTGATGGATATGTTATTTACCCTGATTTAATTTTTCTGCAATGTATACATATATCTACATATCACATTGTACCCCATAAATATATACAGTTAATATTTGTCAAATATATTTTTTAAAAATCATATGGGAATGCATACATATTATATGTTTCCATTTATATTAATATAACATTCTCGAAAGGCCAAAAGCAGAGAGATGGAAAACAGATTAGTGATTTCTAGGAGTTAAGGATGAGGGGTAAACAGGAGGGATGTGGATATGGTCTTAAAAGGGTAATGGGAGGTTCTTTGAGGTAAAGGAATTACTCTGTATTTTGCCGTTACCAATATTGTATCCTGCTTGTGCCATTGTACTACAGTTTGCAAAATGTTACCTTTGGGGGAACTGGGTAAAAGGGTACATGAGGTCTCTTTGTATTATTTCTTAACAATAGCGTATGAATCTACAATTATCTCAGAATAAATATTTAGCAAAAAAAAAGAAAAAGAAAGAAAATCACATAAAAGTATCCACAAAGAAAACCTAAAATTGTTTCCTAAAGGAAAATTATAAGACATCATCTTTCTTTTCTTCATTCATCAATTTAATATTATTCTGTCTAAAACTAAAACAAATGCCAGAAAGTTTTTCCACACTTTAATTGAACCATTAATGTTAGCAACAGCATATTTATCCATTATACAGCTTGAGCATCCCTAATATACAAATCTGAAATCTGAAATACTCCAAAATGTGAAACGTTTTGAGTGCCAACATGACACCACAAGTGGAAAATTCCATACATGATACAAATTCTGCACTTAATACAAACAGTTTCATGTACAAAATTGTTAAAAATATTGTCTAAAATTACTTCAGGTTGTATGTATCAGGTGTAAATGAAACATAAATGAATTTTGTGTTTATACTTGGGTTGTTTTCCCAAAATATCTCATTATGTGTATGCAAATACAGTCAGCCCTCCGTATCCATGTTTTCCTCATTCAAGAATTCAACCAACTGGCCGGACGCGGTGGCTCACGCCTGTAATCCTAGGTCTCTGGGAGGC